GTGGTACCTAGCTCTCTTAACTAGCAGGCCATGGATGGTCTGAGTTTTGTACATGTTTTAAGTAGCCATATAGGTATATCAACTATGTATACCTCCCTAAAAATGTACACCTTTTTTGGTGCTTAGGTTTAAATTTGGATTTAGACACCTGGGTTAGTATTTATCTCACCACCTAACTAGCTATGCAATAACAGAGAAGTCATGAAACTGAACGAGTTCTGACTCCTCATCTGTATAATAGTAATTTCAGAGAAGATATGTGAGAAAATTAAATTCTAATATAATTAGAAACACTTAATCCTGTTCCTTGTAAATTGCAGCACTCAGTGTGGCCATAATTATAATTGCTATAATTCTTATGATAACTATAGAGGCTATGCACAAATGTGAAGTTTTTAAATGAAATATTTTTCTCTAAGAATTTACTCATACTTCTGCTGCTTCTATAACGCAGCTTTCAACTGTTATCTAAAAGAAACGTCTTTCATTTAAATATACAATACAAAATACTGGTACAATTGGAACTTGCAAGAATCCAAGCCTGAATTGACTTGGATAAAATTATTGCCAATAGCTTACTTTAGTTATTCAATTTTTCAGAAAGGCAATCTAATGGACAGATTAACTATTAATAATCTTTCTATAATTTTCAGGCTTTAACACTGTATTAAGATAGCTCACCGGAAAGCATAGTGCCTGGACCATATTATATAAATTCTTCACAGAGATGCTTTTATGGAATAATGATTTAATAATTAATAATTTACAGTCTGCACTCAACCATCTAGAAGTCAGGGCCATGCCAGTTCTATTTCATAGGTGCTTTCATTTCTCTGCTGTATCATAGAAGACAGTACCTGCTATCCACTCATTTTAGTGAACAATCCAGGGTAGTTTTACTTGACATCAAATTATCACTAAGGAGTCTTCTGGGATAAGTAACTGATTGAGAAGCAGAATTAGTACTGATAAAACCAGTACTGTGATCAGGGTTTCTCTGTGGTTTGATATAATCTTTATGACCTTGTGAGACAGAAGAAGAATTCCAAATTTTACATATGAGGACAGCAAAATTCAGGCAATGATGTTATGGAGGTCTCATAGTCAAAATAAGAAGTCAAAGGTTATTGCACTATGGGGTGGTAACAGCAAAAAATAATGGTGGCGGGGAGGATTATACTTGGATGATTCAATAAGAAGACAGGCTAGCAAGGTGAATCCTGGGGATTCATTGATATACCTGTTTTTGTCAATGACAAAATCATTGTAATAACTTTATCACCTCACTTTACATCTCTTTTTAGAAAAATGTTCTCAATATACATAAGCTTAATGTTTCTTAGCAGCCAAAATGTATCCCTAAAATATCAGAGATATGTACTTTTTTAACATCTGAACAGACAGACAATAACAATGATTTAGATTTTGTTTAGTTTTAGTTTAGTTAATAGTTTAGTGTAGACTTTTAGATGATGTGACATTATGCAATGAGTTCAATTCAAAAATCTTAGCAAAAAGTTTCAAATTTACATGGTATTGATATTATTGATCAATATCCAAGTCCATTTAAATGATACTACCCACCTGCCAACAAATTTCTCTTTCATGTTGCTAGTTAAAAGGGAGGTTTAATGCCTAACTCAACCCATTCCATTTTGACAGCTATTTTTAAAGCTCTTTATTATCTTGAGCCAAATATATTCTGGCTTCAGCTCATTGATCCTAGTTCATCCTTTCTGAATAATACAGAAGTCTAATTTTTCTTCTATGGGAGAATCATGCAGACACTTAGAAGCTGGAAGGTTCTAATTTGAGTCTTTTATGTTTGAAATATGTAGAAATATATAGAATGCAGCAGAGATATAAAGTCCAGAAAAGTTATGATCCAATCAAAAGCATAAATAATCAGGACCAGCAGATTGCATAATGGTTACATTGTTGGACTCAGTTACATAGTTGACTGCAGTTCAAATCCCAAACCTGGCAACTTAAAAAACTCACACAGGTACGTGTGCATGCATGCCCAAGATCCCAGGAAGAGAATGGAAGAGAAGGGATCACACTATGGCCATCTTCCCTAGGGAGTGATTTCTTACTTTTTGTCTCTGTCTGTCTCTGTTTCTATGGTGAACACACATGCCCTATAGCAAAAAAAAAAAAAAAAAAAATCTTTTTCTAAAAAAAAAATAAAGAATATGTAGTCATCTTGGTATTTGATTTTTCATACTAGATTTATGATACAGATATATACTATGTCTTTCCTTGAATGTTTGTGGGACTCTCTTTTAAACTTGTCATTCATCAAACCAGCTGAAGAAGTCTGATTCTTACAATTAGTTGTACCCTGTTTACATTGAGTAACATCTTTTTCTTAACTTTTAACTAGTAGGCAAGTAAAATTCAATAACTCAATTTCACACAAAGGTGGAAAATTCTGAACTAGAACATAGGTATGTATGTGTTATTTCTGTGTTAGGAAAGTCTCACTAAAAGAAATTAATAACTGGCTAGTGCCAGCATTGTGAGAGAGAAAATACACATACACAAAATACCAAAATATCAAATATAACATGTCTTATCTTTTTTTTGTTTTTGAGAGAGATTTTTGTAATAGGGTGCATGGGCTCATCAGAAAGTCAGAGAGACAGAAAAATAGAAATTACCCCCCACCAGGGAGGATAGCCTGAGGGTAACCACAATCCCTCCTCCTCCATTCTCCTAGTGGGATTTTGGGCATGCATGCACACACACCAAGTGTGTTTTAGCAACCAGGTCTGGGACTTGAACCACATTTGACTACGTGGGAGTCCCATGACATAACCATTGTGCCTTCTGCTGGTACCACCATTTCTTATGTTTAATTGCATTAATTTAATTACAAAGAGAGTTTAGGTGAAAAGAGGAAAATCAGTCTGTTACCCTGAGTAGGATCACATGAAGAGTTATGTTTGATAAGAATTAGACAAAAACAGATCATCAAAGACCATATTTGTACATGTAAAGGAATAACAAAGTTTGCAAAGGGAGAATTGATGTGCGAAATTATATTTGATCCTTAGTTTGAACGGCCTGTAGGTTGACTTAAAATAGGTAAAAGTAAGACTTGATAAATATGAAGTCTACCAGAGCATCCTAAATATAGAATTACAAAGATGACAGTGTCAAGTGAATGTATAAGTGGATAGCCTTCAAGATATACAATACAAAATTATTGCAAGAAAATTATTTTAGATAGAGTGGTTGACAACAGAGAGAAAAATGTCAAGAGTAATTTTCTTCTTGTATTTGTAACTTTTAAAAATTTGCATTTAATCAGTGTACATCTTTATGGTGCACGACATGTTTTATCCCAGCATAAATACTGTAGATACTAGTCAAGTCCCAGCATGAATACAAGGCATATTAATCAACTCAAAAACCTTACCATATACATTATCATCAACAGATAACTTTTCATTTTTGTGTCTATTAAATGTTTTGTTTGTTTGTCATGAGTAATTTTCAAGGTAATAAACTCGTGTTTCTGTTTTTACAAGGACTCAGTTTAATGAGTGATTCTAGTCATTGGGAAAGAGAGTGAATTTTGCTTTTACCTAAATTTCTGCCTTTGATTAAATTACCACATAGACAGCTACAGAAAGTGTTTTGAGAAGTGTGCTTGGTAGATATCCATGTATGTGGAGTAATTAAAATTCTACATTTGTATATGTCTCTATCAAAAAGGTGGATATTAAAGAAGAGAAAAGCATAACATTAAGGGATATCACAGTTAAATATTTGGTTAAAATTTGATCTACACTAAAATTGAGTCAAGGAAAGTATGCACAGATATTTTTAAAAGATAAAAAGAGTGGGTCTCAGGTCAGGAGGTTGCATAGTGGTCGAGGTGTTGTATTCCCACATGGTTAACCATGGTTTGAGCCCTCACCCAGGCAGCTTGAAAACTCACACCAGGTGCATGTCATGTGTGCCCAAAATCCCAAGAGGAGAATGGAGAAGAAGGGATTACAGCATGGCCATCCACCTTTGGGGGGGAGATTTCTCACTTTCCTTCTCTCTGTCTCTCTCCAGAGAGCACACACACCTATGGCAAAAACAAAACAAACAAACAAAAAATAAATTAAAAAAAGAATGGAGACAGGATCCAATAAAGTTTAGAGAAGAAATATCCTGTCAATTTTTAAAATTCAGCTCACAGTGAAATAATTGGATTTCACTAGAAAAAAAGATTTCTAGCAACTTTAGAACTATTAGTTTAGAGAAGATGAAAATAAAGAGCATTCAAGGGATGAGAAAATGAAGCAGATTTGATTACTCATAAAATTACAAATGAAATCTAATATAAAGTATGATAAAATTGGGGCCAGCAGGTGGCATGGTGGATGAGGGTGCTGGACTCCCACATGGCTGACCATGGTTTGAGTCCTGGACCTGGTGGCTTGCTTTCTCACTTTCTCTTTCTCTCTCTCTGTTCCTTTCTGGTCAAATGAAAATAAATAAATAGATAGATAAATAAATAAATAAGTTAAATAAAATAATTCATTTTTTTTAGAGGTTTTTGCTATAGGGCGCGTGCGTTCGTCAGATAGACAGAGAGAGACAGAGAGACAGAAAGCAAGAAATCACCCCCAGAGGGGGATGGCCATGCCGCAATCCCTTCTCCTCCATTCTCCTCTCGGGATCTTGGGCACGCACGCACACGCGCCCAGCGTGCGTCCTAAGCCACCGGGTCCAGGATACAAACCAAGGTCGACTACGTGGGAGTCCAGCGACATAGCCATTATGCTAACTGCTGGTCCCAATAAAATAATTCTTAAAAGATGTATGATAAAACCCAATTAGAACAACTTAGATTTCTGCTAAACTCAGGTATATGCTCTTTAAGTGCGTGTATTTAGTTTTTTGGCGTCCATCTTTCCTATCTTAATCTCTTAGAGCTTTATGTATTTCTTTATGTCTCCAACATTTATATAGAACTGAGGAAATCTAATTTCTTACAGGTAAAACATTGGCAATGTCGGCTTGCCCAGAACCAAATGGCCTTGTCCCCTTCACTAGAGAGTCTCTTGAACTTATAAAACAGTGTATTGCTAAAAAACAAAATGAAGAACATGAAGAAGATTTAAAGCCAAACCCTGAATTGGAAGTTGGCAAAGAGCTTCCACTTGGTTATGGAAAACTTTCTCCGGGAATGGTGTCAGAGCCCTTGGAAGATGTGGATCCCTACTACTACAAGAAAAAAAACGTGAGAATTAATTGAATAAATTATTCTCATTATGGTTTTATGATTTTATTTCCAGACATGGAAAGGAATGTAACTGAGGTAAAACCCAAAAAGAGAAAAAAGAAAGAGTTTATTTAAAATTATACAGAACTGCATAAGATATTTCATTTTGCAAGCACACATACTTGAGATTTTTAACAAAACTAATATCTTACTTGTTTTGCTAGTTCCTCTTTATTACTTTTATTTTTAATACATATAGTAATATGCCTTAATGTAAGTAACTTTTTTAAGGAAACATAGTGATTTACTATTTATGCTTACCAATTTTAAAGTTGCTATAAAAGGTCTAGAAAATGCATAATAATTTAAAACATTCGATTTTATGAGTTTATTCAAAAGTTAGGAAAGTAAATATAACTATATTTATCATTTTTATTTATTTACACATTTATATTTTCATACATTATCTCCACTTGAGTATGACTTGAATTGCTGGCTAATATATGTATTATCCCAGAACAAGCATAGAATGCTAAATATGAGAATAATTATTTTGGAACAGGCAGAGATTTATGTTGGCTGATGAAGCTAAGAGAATATTAAGAAATTCAAATTTGAGCTATAGCTTGAAGACTCTTTAAATTTTAGTAAGACAAAAGGAAGCCCTTCTATGAACATGAATGATCAGAGACTCACTTTAGAATAGGGAAAAGATAAAGTGATACTATAACTGAATGTTGCAAATTGTGGAAATAAGATGAGATAATGGAGCTATCAACATGAATTTAATGTGATGGTCAAAGGACTGATGTGATGAACGCAATGTTTAAGTAAAATTAATCTGGCAGATTTTGAAACCACTGTTGCATATAATGGTCAATAGGATGAAATAGGAGAGAGAAAAGTCAGGCCAGAAGTCAATATACTTGAATTATAGTAGTGTCTCAAAGGAAGAAGAGAGAACAAATCTGAGGAGAAATAACAGGATGTGACTAATGTCAAAGTTTTTGGATTGAAGAATGGCGGTGCCATTAACAAAAATGAAATAATAATTAAAAAGGTCAAGTTCGAGGAAGATGAGAATTACCCTTGTAGTGAAAAAATGTAATTTTATATTCTTATAAAACATTCTAGAGTACTATCAAATGGATGAAACAGAATTAAACTAAAGTCTCTGAACTAAAAAAAAAAAAAATTACAGGGTTGTTTTTGTTTTTTTTTTTTACCTATAACTACAGCTCTCTGGAATACTTTTTCTGGTTGAAGGATATTGGCATTTTTCAGTGGAAACGTATATTTTAACTAAAAGGACTAGAATTTCTGGTAGCCTTCATGGGTATTAGGCAACATTAACTATAGAACAATAGCATAATCTTGTGAGCGTTATAAGGAAAGTGTATGTGCTCATCCCACTCTCTTCCCATTTGGTTTTTCCTGTGCTTCAGTCAAGTAGCAGATACACAGGGCAAAAACTGCCAGTCTAGCTTAGTGCTTTTATTAATGGCACCAAGTTATTTAAAGTAACATTTGAGTTGTATTCAGTTTACCTTGCTAAAGATGGCATAGAAACAAATATTTATAACATTTGTAAAGCAATTGCAGCACTTGAAGTTGAGACATTATTCTACCTAAAATGACTCATCCTTCAAAATGATATAGAAATTTGTTGGTTACACATAAAGTACATATTGGTGAAGGTTGAAATTGTTCTGAAAAATTACAAGAAAAGCTTATCTTAAGAATCAGATTTATTTTCTTTGATTATTAAAAATTTTATTTTCTCTTCATATTTAACATGGAGAGAGAAAAAAACAGCTACAATGTAGGTCAAAGTGTTCACAGATTGTATGTTGGAAAAGTGTTTATTGAAAATGATACCACAGTTTAGTTTTTATTCAGAACATCCATACATAAAATATTGGTGAATATGTATTTATATTAACTAATATATGCATATATATACACAAATATAAATGCCATTAATTACATATAGAAACATTATATGTAATTCAGTAGTATATATGATTATTTTTAATATAATTATATTTAACATTTATTATTAGTATATTATATTTCATTATGTATTATACTATACATTATATTATAATATATACAGTTTGATACCATAGTCTTTATAGTATCCATTATGTACATTTATGCAAACACTACAGTGACTAATTTTTCCAAATGGTTATATATAATGAATATACCTATATATATATATATATTCATACTTTGACTGACAAAACATAGCTACACATATACAAAAATATAAAAATATACACATACACTTATATATGTACACATATGTTATATAGTAAACAAATAGATACACACTACACACATTTTAACTTTAGAATATTTCTAACCTTTTATTGTATTTTTGTTTGAATTGTTGGTTTCTTTTTGGAGAGGTTTTTGATATAGGGCCCATGCACTCTCCAGGAAGACAGAGAGACAGAAAAGTGAGAAATCACCCCCAAGGGGGATGGCCATGCTGCCATCCCTTCTCCTTCATTCTCCTCTCAGGATCTTGGGCACACACACACACGCGCCCAGTGTGAGTTTAAGCCACTGGGTCTGGAACTCAAACCGTGGTCAACTATATGAGAGTTCAGCGACATAGCTGCTATGCCAACTGCTGGTCCTAGAAACCATTTTTTTTGAATTGAAATGCTTCAGTATCTCAACATGTTAGGTTTATGTGATATAAATTTCTAGTAAAGATATATTTATATTAATGATATCAAACAAATTGATTTTATTTTCTAAATAATTGTTAACAATTAATGTAATATTTCAATGCATTAGATCTTCTTTACTGTTGTAGATAGACATTTGATTTGCTCTGAAACAAAATTAACTTTCTTTAGTATTCATTACGTTTTTAGATTTACGTCCTCTGGTACTCTAAATGCATCTCCATGAGCCATCAGGATATCGTGTTTTTCCTACTGCTACTACTGTGGCGAGACTTGGAGATGTGATGTGTATCAGATGATTTTCTTGGCCATAACATAGGCAAAAGTAAAGAACATGTAGAAAAGTAGAGTCAGAATGAAAATAGTTAAAAATCATTCCATTTGACTTAGTCTGTTAGAGAATCTAATGGGGGCTGATGGTGAAATAGTGGTAAAAGTGCAGTGCTCTGTAAGACTGCTCCACATGAGAGGGTTTACATCAGGAGACCATCCTGAGTATGCCCATGATCTGGAGCTGGCTCAGGCTAGGAGAGATGTGGCGTCAAGACCCTGACCCTCTCTGTCTTTCTGTCTCTCTCTCTACCTCTGTTTCTCTCACTCACACAAGAAATGAATAAACTTAAACAAAAGAGAGACTATTAAGAGAACTATTTATATAACTGTCACAATATTAGACTGTAATGATCATTGGCAATATGTTGCATAATTAATGAGATTATGGCTCTGAGTGTGTACTTCACTTTTTTTTTTCTTCTTACAGACTTTTATGGTACTAAATAAAAAGAGAACGATCTTCAGATTCAATGCCACTTCCATCTTGTGTACATTGTCTCCTTTCAGTTCTATTAGAGGAACAACTATTAAAGTGTTGGTACATCCATATCCTTTTCTACTGGCCTCTTGACTATGCACTGTACTAACACGAAGGACACTATTCCATTATTCACATATCACTGCAGCATTTTCTCCTTGGAAATAATATCACATGTTAGGTCATATTTAAGTCCAGGTTATGCTACATCGTTTCCCTTATTTTAAGATACATATATAAAATATATTTTCTAATACACTTAGCAGTAGTAAATATTTACAAATATTAATACCCATTGTTTTTCAATAAAATAAATACATAAAAATAATGCATTTCTTTAACATTTAAGGAAATATCTGGCCTCATATATATATATAAATGCAAACATATTATAGATAGATGTATTTTCCAGCATTGTTTATTATTCATTATTCCTTGACTATAATCTACCTTTTTCCGACTATTCATTTTAATTAGTGTCCTGACTGATTGCATACTAATGTCCATGATTAATTTGCCTCAATGGGGACCAGCATTAGAGTAAGTTATATAATTTTATTATGCATAATCTATAATATATATTTTAATTTCATAAAAATATTAAATTTAATAATAAACTGTTGTGCTATTATACAATTTCATATTTATGCTTTTTATATAATATTTGTAGTGTATAATATTTACATATAAACTACACTTTATGAGTTTTCCAAATAAAAATAAATATACATGTATATTTGTCAATCTTAGGGTTTTTCTGCCTTTTCATTATATTTAGTTAAATTTAAAATACCTCTATTTCCTAACAGCTTATTTAACATTTGTGATATAAATGTTTGAATCTTTAGCTATATGTTATGTCTATAGTATCATGTGGGTGGAGTTTTATTTCAAAGTTAATTACTAACAAGTAATATATTTAGTGCCTCAAGTCTACTATTACAACCCCACATCTGATTTACTTCTAACTTGAATAACTTTTACTACTTCATATCTATTAAGAAAATTATTATTTTCTTTTCCTTTCTATTGGTCTTTCAAGAAGGATGTCTGTAATCTAACGTACATTAAAATAACATGAGAGAAAAGTCCATTGTATTTTCTTTTTTTTTTTTTTTCCACCAGACAGACAGAGAGAGACAGAAAGCGAGAAATCACCCCCCAGGGGTGATGGCCACGCCGCAATCCCTTCTCCTCCATTCTCCTCTCGGAATCTTGGGCACGCACGTACATGCGCCCGGCATGAGTTTTAAGCCACCAGGTCGGGGACGTGAACCACGGTCGACTACGTGGGAGTCCAGAGACATAGCCATTACGCTAACTGCTGGTCTCAAAGTCCATTGTATTTTCTACAGAAGAAGTGTTTCTAGGAGTTTCTCTTAAGCTTTAACACTGTTCTTAAAACCAGTAGATTTTGGAAGGCAAATAATTATAATATTGATTCACCACATAAATCTTGATGTTTACACTCATAATATATAAAGACTTCCATGTCTGAGCTAGGACATATTGAAAAAAGCTGATAGTCAAATTTCATGGCTAATGCCATTAAACATAGTTGACCATTGAAGTCCTATCAACAACCCTATTCCAAGGCTCAAGCGCTAGTTTGTTTTTGTTGTTGTTGTTGCTGTAGTTTCCTTTTTTGTTTTTTGGTTTTTTTTAATCATCAGCTTGGCTGATGGTTTGTTGGTTTAGGCCTGCCTAACAGACCAGATCTCACATTTCTCATGACTTATTCTCAAATACCAGATAATGTATCATACACGTAGTATTTCAGAGCTGATAATGTCTTTTTCTCACCCTTAATAATTATATGAAAATATTTCTACAGGCATTCTTTACTTGGAATTTACACATTTGAAATACTTGTAAAGCTGTTAGCAAGAGGCGTCTGGGCAGGATCTTTTTCTTTTCTTGGTGATCCATGGAATTGGCTCGATTTCATTGTAACTTCTTTTGAGTGAGTATTTCTTTCTATTTCTTTCTTTCTGTTTAAGATTTTTGTCATAGGGCACATGTGCTTGACAGAGAGAGCCAAAGAGAGACAGTAAAATGGAAAGTGAAAAATCACCCCCAAGGGAGGATGGCCTTACCTTAATTCCTTTATCATTTTCCTTTGGGGATTTTGGGCAAGCACACATGACCAGCATGATTTTCAAGTCACTAGGTCTGGGTACGCAAGTCACAGTTGGCCATGTGGTAGTTCATTGCGCTAACCACTGCACTACCTGCTGGCCCCAGACTCTTAATGCCTGCTAAAAATATACTGTCACAGAAAAATGTTGAAGTCTACAGAATTGTTTGCCTGCAAGAATTCTGTAAGTAAAGGATATTTCATGAGCCATAGTCATAGCTCTCTCAGGCAGCAATCTCTAAGCTAATTATCAAATATGTGATAAAAATGAAAGGAGTGCCTTATTTCCTGTTTTCAGTCTGGAGCAAAAAAATATAAATTGAATTTGTAAATTTCAGTGGTTATTTTCAGTGAACAGAGCATTTCCTGCAGTCTTAGAAAATTCTAGTATGTTTGATTCTCAGTCTCTTAACTACATTTCATTAAACTACATTGTTTAAGAGCGGTAAACACCTTAGATAGCAGAATAAAATATTTTAAGCATGTATATGTACACACACACACTTTCTAAAGTGTTACATTTAATTCTAATGATTTCATGTCTAGTTTAAAACTGGTTCTGTTCAGCATACTCTAATTTATGGTTATGGAAATGATCACTGACATCAAATTTTTTGTTTGAGATTATTTAAATGATATTTTATTTACATAATTTTGGTGAAATTTAAAATACCTATCCTTTATAAAGAGCATAAACAATGTCTTTCATGTAAGCAATCAAAAAATAGCAGTTAATGTCACTGTAATTATTACTATTACTACCAATACTGTTACTACTGCTGTTTCTGCTATTTTTGCTGTTGCTATTGGTTATTACCTAGCTAATTTAGAGAGCTCTTATGATGTGCCAGGTACTCTCCTATGAACTTTACATATTTTACCTCATTTAAGCCTCTGAATCAAGAAGTACTATTATACTCACTTTGTAATTGAGAAGACAGAGACAGGAAAGATTAAATAAGTTGTTCATAGCACACAGCCAGTAAGTAGTAAAGGTTATATGTGTACACTGTCTGGTTCCAGAGTCTTTGCCCTTTGCCAGGGTACACTCTACCTTCTACCATTGTCACTACACACCATCACCACTAGCAGCATTGCATCTCCACCATCATTATCAGTATCACTCTTGTTACCATGATCTTAATCATCAGAAACTTAAATATTTAAAGTGAATATTAATCCTTAAAAAACTAATAATATTTCTCTCTTTACCTTTTTTTGGTAGTACCAAAACATTAATGAACAAAATATAAAGTATTTCACATGAAATTAAAAATAGTCACAGTGTTGAACTCTCATAGCTTAAGTATGCACATTAATATTTACCCGACTACCTTGCATTATAAAAATCTTAGTCTTCCAATAAGTAAAAAAAAGTATTTGCAAAAGGAATAATGTAATCAAGGGATATGCTGGGAAAGAAAATTGAATTATTTAGTTATTTATTCATTAGGTTTTTCCATAGAACCCATGTACTCACTAGAGTGAGAGAGGTAGAGGGAAAGTAAGAAATCACCACCCAGAGGAGATAATCACCCTGCAATCCCTTCTCCTCCATTCTCCTCTCAGAATTTTAGGCATGCATGCACACGTGCCCAGTGTGCTTTTCAGCTGCTGGGTCTAAGACTTGAACTATGTTTAGCCACATGGAAGTCTAGCACCTTAACCACATGACTCTTGCTGGCCTTGAATAGATAATTTAAAAAATAAGTTTCAAAAAGTACAAAAAGCTAAAGGTAAGTAACATAGATTCAATAAGACTTCTAAATACTTTTAATTTAATTCCACAGGCTTATAACAAGATATTCACCTCTAAACTTCACGTTCATGCTTGGAACCATAAGAACATTGAGAATTTTGAAAATTATTCCCTTAAACCAAGGTAGGAAATGGGATTGTATTTCTTTTCTCATTCTGTTTTATATTCTGTGCTGAATTCACTTGAACTTTTCTGCTGTTGCTCAGAGAAAATGTTAAACAATGCTTGGCGCTTTGAAAACAAAGGATTATCTGATCTTTAAATTTATTTGCTACTCCAGGACATGTGGAGTAAGATTACTTTCGGCTATTATTTATTTGGGGTGAGTTCAATGCTTGTGATAAGATATAGAAATCAATGGATAATATTTTAGTTGTGAATCATTCATTCTTCTATCCTAATTATTAATTTAGAAAATTGTCCTTGGGCTTCTGAAGCATTATCTAAACAGGTGTTGAATCCGTCTCCTCCGTCAAACTGAGAAACTAATTTGAAATTAACAAATTGATATAAATTAAGATAATGTTCTTTTGCTTGGACAGGGTAACATCCACATGCCACAAACTTTAAGGAGGTTCTGCTAAACAAAATAGGGTTGTGACTATATAGAAAAGAGTTGAGGACTAATTTACAACTCTCATTCCTAAAGATCACTCAACAGAAGTCCACCAGCACCTCCTAATTTGCTCTGAATGAATAAATGTAATCAGGAAGAACTCCGCTTAAGTTTTGGGGCTACAGTGTCAGAAGTATTAGGAAATGGTTATAAAAAAAAACCCAAGGATGGCCCAGCCTGGTGGCAAAATTGGTAGCAAACTGAACTGCAGTGATTGAAGTCCCACGACTGACTGTGGGTTTGACACCAGACCAACCCCAAAAGATATTGGGCACGTGTGCAAGTGCCCAGGATCCTGATGAGCTGGAGGGCTTAGGGAAGGGATTGCAGCTCAGGGACACTCTGTAGTGGTGGCTTCTCTGTCTTGCTCCTTCTCACCCCTCCCCTTCTTTTTGGTCTAATATTCATACATGTGCTATTATGAATACAGACAAAATTTTTAAAAACTAAAGAAACGCAAGGGTAAATGTAATTATGCCCAAAAGAAACCAAACGGTGAGAGTTACCCTAGTGGGAATTTGCAGAACTCTAGTTTCCTTCCTACTCACTGGAAATAACTAGAATATAAAATAATATCACTGCATCTTTATCTTAGGACCAGAGATAAAGATTGTAAAATTAATCAGAATTGGGTTTTGCAGTCCCAAGAAGACCTAGACTCTCTCAGGTAGGAGGTAAAAATGGACAAATACAAGTAACTTTAAGACAAAAAACTTTAAACATTATAATACTTTAAGTGGATCTTCAATGGCTATAGAAATAGATAATATGAGCAGTATTATCTGTATATCATACAAAGTCCCTTGTGTAAGAAATAATAGAGAAGTTTGGTATCAGTATAGTATAACCAACAATGGGATAGGTCAGTAAAACAGAAAAAACTGAATTCCTACTTATGTATAATAGGTGATCCTGAAAAAGAGACCACAATAAATGTAAAAGAAAAATTGTTTAAAAAATAAATTTATTTAACAGTTTTTAACCAGAGAAAGAGCTTACAATTGAGAAGAACTTCTCTTGTGTAAAATGAAAATAGTAAGATACACTTATCCATATTATAAAATGTTGTAAATTTAAAATATTAAGGAACAAAAACCTTAAAAGAAACAAAGCAGATCTTTTGGGAAGATCATTCTTAGAGGTTTTGATGTTGTTAAATACCAGTAGACAATGGAGTTTCAGAGCTTACCAGGAAGATTGTGGCACTAGATTCTACACCTGTCTGCATTCATATGCAAAGTCAACAGAAAGGTATTCTCAGCCATGTAAGAGTTTTGGAATTTTATAACGTGCATGTCTTTCCTGAATATCTGTTGGAGAAAGTATTCAACAATGGGAAAATTTGGTTCTAGAAGTAATCACAATGAACTCTGAAACCATTCAGCAGGGAATGAATTGTAAACTATGGTTGTTAGTGGACTGCAGAACAGAGTGCAAATATAAATCAGAAGTTACAACAGGGACATCTGTAGGTCATTCTTGAATCACAAACATGTTTTGTTTGTACTTTGAAAAACTACAAAAAAAAAAAAAAGAAAAGAAAAGAAAAGAAAACCTCCACTGCAAAAATCTGACCATTTTAATGTTTCAAATCTAAAATATACTTGCATGAACTCTTAGCATCTCTGAATGGAAACAATCTGCCGTAGTTAAGGAGCGGAGGCCCCTTTAAGATGGCCATATTCATCCAGTTCCCTCTAAATCCCTATTTGCATGAATTTCTGCTTCCTAACAACCCTTGTAAGGATTTGAATGTCATGCTTCCTATAAATTATGAAAAATTATATAGAATACAAAATACATAATAATTCAACAATTTTAAGTAGGTGAAAACATCCTAATTTATATTAACAAAAACTTAGGAATGGAAATGATACATATGAGAAAGTAAATATGTGACTTCTTTATCTTATACAGTGTACCTAGTATTATCATTAATGTAGAGATTTCCATGTTGGTTCAAAAAATAAGAAAAAAATTGCTATACTTTGAAAAACTACAAAAAAAAAAAAGAAAAGAAAAGAAAAGAAAAGAAAAGAAAACCTCCACTGCAAAAATCTGACCATTTTAATGTTTCAAATCTAAAATATACTTGCATGAACTCTTAGCATCTCTGAATGGAAACAATCTGCCGTAGTTAAGGAGCGGAGGCCCCTTTAAGATGGCCATATTCATCCAGTTCCCTCTAAATCCCTATTTGCATGAATTTCTGCTTCCTAACAACCCTTGTAAGGATTTGAATGTCATGCTTCCTATAAATTATGAAAAATTATATAGAATACAAAATACATAATAATTCAACAATTTTAAGTAGGTGAAAACATCCTAATTTATATTAACAAAAACTTAGGAATGGAAATGATACATATGAGAAAGTAAATATGTGACTTCTTTATCTTATACAGTGTACCTAGTATTATCATTAATGTAGAGATTTCCATGTTGGTTCAAAAAATAAGAAAAAAATTGCTATATACTATACAAATAGATATATTTTGAAATACTAGAAGGAAAAAGAAAAAGAATAAAATGTGTTTTAAAAAGATAAGCATATAATAATGAGAATATAGAAATTAAAAAAAAAAAAAGGGGGGCCCAGCCACATTGACACAAGTAGTAAGTACCAGCTTTCCAATGCTGGAGCCACGCAGCTAATCCGGGTATTCCTGGTGGACCTGAAACACACAGTGTGTAACCTGTGGTCCTTTGAGGCTGAAGATAGAGCATAAAATGTCTCAGTTGTAGGTGCCTCTGATTCCCTTTCTCCCCTCTCCCTTCTCCCTTATGACTTTTCCTCTCAATAAACAAAATAAATAAACTCTTTTAAAAACTGGTAAAGGCACACTAACAGTTAACTAGAGCTAATTTATTAAAATAGATGCAATTGGATCATTTTATTTTTCTGTCAAGAGGCAAAAGTTTTAATATTAAATCAGAAATAAGGGTCAGTCCCAAGCACAGTGGCAAGAGCCGTGCAGAGGGACCTGATTCCCAAATGGCTGACTCCAGTTCAGATCAGGCCCAGCAACTCGAAATATGTGCTGATACATACCCACCTGCTCAGGATGGAGAAGTAGAGGGACAAGGATTCATTGTGTCTAGGCCTCTTTGGGGGATACTTTCTGTCTATCTCTTTATCTCTCTCTGGTACACATACACATGTCCTCCAGCACTTGAGGAAAGAAACTGAAAAAAGTGAAAAACAAAATTAAACTCTACCAAAGACATACCTAAACTAACCAAAATAAAGTTGAAATGTGAAAAGAAAAAATATATGCCAGAAAGTCAAAATCAAATTTGGTCTATAGCACAGACCTTTCTATGTCATAGATGATAACATTTTTAGTAGATTTAATTCTACAAAAATTATAAGACAGTATTTTTACCTTCAAACAAAATGTCACTACTAAAATTGAAGCGCCACAACAAACTGGGTATGCTGTAGGCACACACACACACACACACACACATTCTTAAGGATTGCTCTTTTTAAAAATAATTCAGACAAAACAATATGAGAAATGTTTAGTAAAATAATATGCAGAGTACTCGTGACAATGACCAAATGAAAAGTACACTGTGAAATATACTTATTTTAAAAGTTTGTAATGGTAACCATAGAAATTACATTGAAATAAAGTTATTTTTTCCTAATACATCAACAACAATGATTTGTTTTACAAATGTCCTCATTTGGGACCAAGAGATGCCATAATGGTTATATTGCTGGACTCCCACATAGTCGACTACAGTTCCAGTTCCAGACCTGGTTACTTAAAACTCATGCTGGGTGCATATGTGTCCAAGATCTCAAGAGGAAAATGGAAGAGAAGGGATTGTTGCAGTATGGCCATTCCCCCTGGGGAATTTCTTGCTTTCTGTCTCTCTGTCTCCCTTCCTGGGGAGCACATGCATCCTATGTCAAAAATCTCTCAAAAATTTTCCTGTTTCTTTGTGAAAGCTTAACTATGTATTTATAGCCTTTGATTTACGCACAGGTTAAACCTCGAATAAAAACAGCTTACTGAATCCAGCAGGTGGTATAGTGGTTAAGGCACTAGACTTCCACATTGCTGATCACAGTTCGAGTCCGCTTGAAAATCACAATAGGTGTGAATGCGTGTGCTCCCAAAATCCTAGGGATAGAATGGAGGAGGGATTGTGGCATGGCTGTCCCCTCCGGAAGATGATTTCTGGCTTTCCTTCTGTCTCCCTCTTGTCAGCGCATGTACATTATGGCAAAAACCTTAAAAAAAAATACAATTTGAGCATATATCAACACCTAAACATGGTGAAACATTTTGACACAGGAATCCATTTCTAATATAATACTTTAAAAAACTTATTCTTGGGACCAGCAGTTAGCATAATGGCTACGTCACTGACCTCCCATGTAGTCAGCCGTGGTTCGAGTCTTGGACCTGGTGGCTTAAACTCATGCTGGGGACATGTGCATGTGTGGCCAAGATCCCGAGAGGAGAATGGAGAAGGGATTGCGACAAGGTCATCCCCCCTCGGGGGGTAATCTCTTGCTTTCTGTCTCTGTCTCCTTCTGTCTTTCTGGTGAGCGCATGCGCCCTATAGCAAAAAACTCTCAAAAAAGAAAAAAAGAAAAAAAACTTATTCATAATAAAATTTAATGGTTTAATTAAAAGTGCAAAGTGGCTATAAACATGTTAAATGTGATCTCAATTAAAATGATATATTTAATCCAATTATACATTCGTTTTTTGGAGAGGTTTTTGCTATGGGGTGCGTGTGTTCACCAGAAAGACAGAGAGAGACAGAAAGTGAGAAATCACATCCCACCCTCCCTGGGAGGATGGCCACACTGCAATCCCTTTGCCTCCATTCTCCTCTGGGGATTCTGGACATGGCACACATATGCACCCAGCATGAGTTTAAGCCACCGAGTCTGGGACTCGAACTGCAGTCAACTATATGGGAGTCCAGCGACATAGTCATTATGCCAACTGCTGGTCCTTCAATTATACATTTCTTTAGCCACAAGGATGACTTTACATTATCTTTATCCTATTGTGTTCAATAAATTCAACCATCTGAGGGAATCTTTTTAAAAAATAAATTTTCAATTCTCACAATGATATGAAATAGATATTATTTTCTTTTTTTGAGATAATTTTTGCTACAGGGCATGTTTTATTTTTATCAGCACTACTTTACATCATTTAGACTTTCATTTGATATTCAGATATTTCCCCTATGATAGCGAGTAGTAAAGATGTAGTTAATAACAATGTATTATAGTCTTGAAAATTAGTAAAATTTTTTAAAAATATTTGTTGCCATAGGGTATGTATGCTAGCCAGAGAGAGACAGAGAAGACAGAGAAAGAGAAAGAGAGAAATCACACAAACATGCATACACACACACACACACACACACACACACACACACACTCACACATATTCTGGGGAGAGGGCCACACTGCAGTCCCTTCCGTATTCTCTCAGGATTTGGGGCAGGCATGCACACATGCACAATGTGAATTTCCAGCTACTTGGACCAGGACTTGAACCTCAGTCCACCACGTAAGAGTCCAGTGCCTTGACCACTATGCCACCTTCTGGCCTGATATCGTTTCCATTTTAAAGATAATAAAACTAAGGTACAAAAATTTTGATATCTGGCTCAACATTGCAGAGTTAATATAATTCCCCATTATGGGACTGAGCAGTTATTTGGATCATAAATATACACAGGCCAGCAAATACGAGGAGAGCAAGAGAGAAAGGAAGGAAGGAAAGAAAGAAGTTGGTTCCTACAGCAAAATGTTAGTACTTTCACCTACGAAGTACAATTAAATTATTTTTGGTTTTTTGTTTTTTCTTGTTTTCTGAGTTAAGCATGTGCTATTTTACATGAGAAATATGAATGTCTTTTAATTAAGCCAACTTTAAAGTTGCTTTTTGATTACTAAGTATTCTGATATAATATATTTGATAGTGGTATGCTGAGTTCTAATCATTAATAACTTAGTACCAGTTTTAATTCATTAGCTTCAAAAATTGAATTTTTATAAAGTTAACTAGAAAATAATATAGAATACTGCTATTTCTTGTTTCAGTATTTCCAGTCCGTTTGGTTTTAACTCTACATCCTTACTAATGTGTGTAAACACCAGTCATTGGTACAATAAGCAGCTAACTGACAGAGAGGGCTGTTGTTATTTTATAGTAAAAGGAAACAAAAATATAACTAATTTTAGATATTGTTCCTGAATTATTTCATCATCACAGAAATCTTAAAGCTTAGAGGGTTTTCTTTTCACTTTATTGTTACATAATGAGAATGAGGTTACAAGATATGGTTGAAATGTGCATTTGCCATGACAGATGTTTATTAATGTTGATTTATTAAGATACTTTGTTCTGTCAAAACCCTTTTATTTCCAGGTCTAACATCCCTTGTAGGGGTCCTGATGCATTGCTTAAAGAAACTCGTTGGCGTTATTATCCTAACTCTGTTTTTTCTGAGCATATTTTCTGTAATCGGAATGGGACTTTTCATGGGCAACCTGAAGCATAAATGTTTGCGATGGCCTCAAGAAAATGAAAATGAAACCCTGTACAACAGAACTAGAAACTCATTTTATATTCAAGGTAAAAACAAATGCTTTCAATGTCTAACTTTAAAAAAGAAAACAAAACAAAAACGAGAAAACAAACCATTTTAAAAAGGAAGAGTAGTCTTCCCAGAAATGAGACTCAATGTCAGAGCAAACTATAAATGCTATAACTGTATTCAAGTGGTAATTTGTAGCTGTTTTATTTATTGATAGCAAGTTCTCAGTCTTCATATAGTTAAATCAAATGTACTTAAGTTTTTTTTGAGAGGTTTTTGCTATAGGGTGCGTGCACTCACCAGAAAGACAGAGACAGAGAGACAGAAAGCAAGAAATCATCCCACAGGAGTATGGTCATGATGCAATCCCTTCTCCTCCATTCTCCCCTCAGGTTCTTGGGCACGCACGCACATGTGTGCGGCGTGAGTTTAAGCCACTGGGTCCGGGACTCAAACCATGGTCGACTACATGGGAGCCCAGCAAAATTGCCATTACGCTAACTGCTGGTCCCAAATTAACTTATGTTTGAAATGACTAAATTATGTAAATTTTGTTCTTTAAGTAAATACATATACTCAAAGTTTTAGCTGCAGTTTTTCTAGAGCAACAGAATTTGTTTTCCACATATCTGTAGGCTATAAATCTCAAACTGAGATCAGCAGGGTTGGGCTTCCTCTGACACCTCTAAAGGAGAATCCCTCCTTGCTTCTTACCATCTGGTACTTCCAGGTTTCTTAGGTTGTGGCTGCATCCTCCAGTCTCTGCCTCCACTTTCTCAGTGCCTCATCTCCCAGGGTGTCTCTGTCCTTGCATAGTGCTCTCTCCGTAGAGGAGCAGTGAGGTTGGATTAGGGTGCACCATAATGACCTTGTCTTTATGTATCTTTCTGAGGGGTATGATTCAATCAATAACAATTATTATACTTATTTTATTTATTTAAAAAATGAGCTATACTTTTATCAGACACAGCTAGAGCAGCACCCTCAGAATTTTACCTTTCCTCAATAACATTATTTAAAATATAGACATATGTTAACCTATTAAAATTTTTGAGATGATCTTAAAAGTCAGAAAATGTCTGCACTATAGAAATTCTTACCATCGTTAGATTTTAGTTAGTGCTGATCATTCAAATGGTATGGGTTATATCTTGCTAAATAAACACTTTAAATTATTAACAATACTGCTGAATAAACATTGCTTAGCTCTAACACTAAGCAATTCACATGACTTATCTCCTATCTTTGATATGATCCTCCAAAGATTATACTACCAATATTGCTACCTACTGCAACAAACAAACAAAAAAATGGAAGTTCAGAGAAATTAAGGAAATGTTCCAATATACTATAACTGCTAGGTGGTAAAACTGAAATTTTAACCATGCTCAGGGACCAGCAGATAGCACAATGGGTATGTTGCTGGACTCTCAGTCGACTGTGGTTCAAGTCCCAGACCTGGTAGCTTAAAATTCAGTTTGACACATTTGTGTGAGTGCCCAAGATCCCAAGAGGAGAACGAAAGAAAAGAAATCACTCCAGAGTGATTTATCATTTTCTGTCTCTGTCTCTTCAGTGAGCACGTGCATTCTACAGCAAAAATCTCTCAGAAAAAAAAACAAAAACATTCTTTTTTCACGGGGCCATACTCTCTTCCTGGAGTTTTCTCTCACATGGTTCTTATCAGGACCTTTCTACTTTTTCAAAAGTATTTTTCAATATTTTAAATATTATTAAAGATAATGTTGATAAATCTTATCAGATATCACAATGTTGACCTTTTATATTAATTTTATTTATATTTTGTATTTACTTATTTCTAATGCAAATCGTGAAACATTTTATTATTTGGTTTATTCTATAATATGAATATGATGCAAATCATACAAAATTATTAGTCTATGAGTATGTGAAGTGTTTTCTTATTACATATGTCAATGCCATGGTCCTAATCTAGTGATGAAAATAGAAAGAGGGATATTAAATCTTAGGTTTCGGGTCATCCCTGGTGCATTGGTGATGTGCTGCCAAGAGAAGCCAGGTCCCATGTGTTGGTGGTTTGAATCCTAGGTTTGTCTGGCAACAGACAGCAGGCATGTGTGAAACTGCCCACAATCTGATGGGCTGGAGAGGATCAGGTGTGCTCAGACCCCATCGAGGGTGATTCTGCCTTTCAATCACATACAAAACAATGCACTCTATTATGAATAAAGGAAAAATAAAGACGTAATTAAAAGTTCAAAATATAAACCTTAGGTTTAAATTATATACCTTTTGACGCAACAGACAGCAGGCATGTGTGAAACTGCCCACAATCTGATGGGCTGGAGAGGATCAGGTGTGCTCAGACCCCATCGAGGGTGATTCTGCCTTTCAATCACATACAAAACAATGCACTCTATTATGAATAAAGGAAAAATAAAGACGTAATTAAAAGTTCAAAATATAAACCTTAGGTTTAAATTATATACCTTTTGACAAAAAAAAAATTAAAAGTTCAAAATATAAACCTTAGGTTTATCAGATATAACTTTTGACAAAAAAAAAAAATTAAAAATAAGCAATTGTGCTCCCTCACTGGTTATTTCTAAGAAAACAGTCCAATGTCTTTTCATCTTGTTAAAATACAATATGACATTACAAAGGAAACATTTTTAAAAATTTAACACTTTAAATTTTTCCAAATCAAGTTATTGAATTTTATTATGTAGCATTTTAGCAATTGCTGAGTTTGTTTTATAGACATCCCATTAATATTTGTAAAACTATTTTTTGTACTTTATTGTCATATTACGATTCTTGTATGTAGAAGAGTTCTTGGGATGACCCAGTGCTATTAATGTCAAATTTCATTTGGTTTTCAAGGGCCATTCAAAAACTTTGATCAATGATGCCTATTATGTGTGACTTAAAAATTCCCTTAAAATTATTACTGGTGACAAATTATAGTAGCATTTGTTGAGATTTTATGTGTGTGTATACAAATATAGCCCTCTACCCTCACCATGGATTTGGTCTCTGTGATTTGAAGTCAGAACCGAAAATCCAATGCCTTTAAGCATGCATATTCCCAACTCTACCTTGTGGTACCTTTAAGTGTATAATTTACATTTTGGTTGGAGTGCATTAGGAAACCTGAATAAATTTTTTCTATGACTTAAATTAGCATGGATTATGGTTGAAATTGTGTGCTATCAAAACAAATAACTAGTTCTGGATGCTCACTGTAAAAGAATCAACTTTCAGGTGGGAAGAGAATGTAAAGTAAACCCAGAAACAATAAAAAGTTACAACTTTAAAACAATTGAGTCTTGGGAATTTTTCCTTCAGAGGGCTGGTCATACTGCTTGATTTTATTCATTTTTTTGAATTTTAATTTTGAAAAGGATTTTCCTCTTTCCATAATGAGCTTTGTCAACTTTCAAGGTGCGAGAGCAACTAGATTCCCCAAGGTGTTTGGCCTTGTGCGTGAGACGTTAGAAAAACAAACAAACAAAATCAGAATCTCTGTTCCTTTGTTCTCAGTTATAGAGAGGAGTGTTATTTTCTGTGGAGATTCAAATAAATTCAGAAATACTGTTAATCCAAGATTATATATAAAATATATCTTTTTTCATTTTTCAGAAACAGAAAACTTTTACTATTTGGAAGGAGAAAGCTATGCTCTCCTTTGTGGCAACAGAACAGATTCTGGGTAAGTGGAGTGAATTTTTTTTTTTTCCCTATTAAGCCAGTATCACCAATCAATAGTATTTACCAAATTATTATTGTTTTTATTGCTGGCTCCCATTTGATTACATTATCTCACTTTATCAGCAAAGCCATGCTGAGAAGTTTGGGCATTTAATGTCTTAGTTTGGGCTTCTATAATAAGAGACCACAGACTGGTGGCTCATACGCTATAAAAACTCATTTCTCACAATCTGAGACTCTGAAAAGTCTGGATCAAGGAGCTGGCAAAGTTTAGGGTCTAAAGAAGGCCTCCTTTTGGCTTGTGGTGTCTTTTGTTGTGTCCTCATATGGAAAAATGTGTGAGATATCTTTGTTGGGCCTCTCCTTAAGAACATTAATGATTTTTATAAGAACTCCACCCTTATGACCTAATCACCTACCAAAGTCCCCACCTACTAATACCATCACCTTCCATGTTAGAATTTCAAAAAATGGAGACCAGCAGATGGCATAATAGCTATGTCTCTGGACTCCCATGTATTCGACCATAGTTCGAGTCATGTACCGGGTGGCTTAAACTCACACCCAAGATCCCGAGAGGGGAATGGAGGAGAAGGGATTGTGGCATGGCCATTCTCCCAGGGAGTGATTTTTCACTTTCTGTTTCTTTCTCTGTTTGTGTTTCTGGCAAGCACATGTGCCCTACAGCAAAAACCTCTCCAAAATACCAGAATTTTAGAAAATGAATTTTGAGGGGACACAAATACTTCAACCATAGCAAAAAATATGTAATATGGAGAGTATTAATCCAATTTTATAGAAAAAGAAATAGGCTGACTAATAAGTGATTCATTCAAAATGAAGAAGTCAGTAAATACCTGAGCTTAAATTTCAACAAGGAATTAATCTCTTTTCCAGTGTGCCCCAGAACTAGTGACCATTAGCTAAATAGAAAATATAAATCTGTCCTTCAACTAGAAGTTCTTAAAGAAATGTAAAAGATACTCTATATTTCATTTGTTCTATGTCTTGTTTTTATGATTATAATATACATTGTAAATAGTTTATTCTTAAAAACTATAAATAATTCTTAGCAAGATGGCAAAACTCTCATATCTCATCATCCTTTAATTTAGATGTAGTAAGAAAGTGGGAACAGAGCAGCTCCTGGCACTGTGTGACTTATGCAATTTCCCTGGGTTGCTTTGGTCAGCTAGTGTGGCTTGGCCCCTAGCCACAGATTTAGCTCTCTCTTAGGCCCTGGGACCCAGATTGAAAAAGGCACGTATGAGATAGGAGCATGAGTGATATGTTGTAGTTAAGTTAAATGCAGGTAATTGTATTGCTTGCTCAGTGAAGATCTTTATTTTAGCTTCTACTGGGCTTCCATTCTCAAATCCAAATTATGAATCCATCTCTTTGTGTCAGTGCCATCCCAGTTTAGCTACTCATCTTTTGTTTACATCCCAAACTCAAATATGATGTGAAATGCATTTTGCAGGTATTTGGTCATGGATATGCATAATACGATAGTATATTTCAAAGCAAGAATAAAAGGTCATGAAACGTTTCACCTATAGCAGTCATACTTTGCTGCATGATCAACACCCCAAAAATTAGTGACTTACAATAATCATAAAAATTTATCTTCTCATATTCAAGGGTCACCAATTTGCAAGTCTCATGTACAAGTGCTTTTTAAACCTCTGCTTACTCTATTAGCAAATGTCCAAAATAAGTCACACGGCGAAAGTGAGGACTAGGTGGGAGGGAGCCACACAAGTGCGTAGATGGAGTGAAGCTTGATTTATTGGTCCATTCTTGTATTAAGCAACCACAACACCCAAGCTCCTCAGTACATGAAAGTATGAAGACTCCCTGAAAGGAAACAGAATAAATATTTAATCTGTTCTTCCTCCCCAAGTGCAAGTACTGCTTATCAATAATTAATGTGATAAATGTTTTGTCACTCTTAATGAGAGCTGAGGATTTGAAGCAAGGCTGTCTTAAAATTAACCCTCAACTACTTCAGTTTTATTTTTATGGGTACCACTTTCCATTTTTTATACTTTCATTGTAATGTTCAGATATTTCCCCTGTGATATTGAGTCGTAAAGATGTAATGAATAACAATGTTATAGTCTTGAAAATTAGTAAGATAGATTGTTTTAAGATTTTTATTGTAGGCCATGTTCACTTACCAGAGAGAGACAGGGAAGACAAGATAGAGACAGAGAGAGGGAAAGCAAGAAATCACCCCCAGGGCGGATGGGCACATCACAATCCCTTCTTCTCTCTTCTCCTTTTGGGATTATGGGCATACACACAAACACACACACACACACACACCCCAAGCATGATTTCCAAGCTGCTGGAACTGGGACTCACACACACACACACACACACCAAGCATGATTTCCAAGCTTCTGGAACTGGGACTTAAACTGTGAACGTGGGAGTTCAGTGCCGTAATCATCATGAAGCTCCTTTATAATTTTACATAGATTAACATTGCTCACTTGTATGAACTTAAAATTGAACTCCTTTGCAACTGTTCTGCTAGACATTGCTTGGGAGAAGACCACCACCCGTGAAAGTGGGAACCATGTATTATTTGATTTGCCCAAAACCTGAAAGTCGCTGGGCAGTAAGCAGCTTTTCTTTCTGTCTTTGTCTTCTGTAGTCAGTGCCCTGAAGGATACGTGTGTGTAAAAGCTGGCACAAATCCTGATCATGGCTACACGAATTTTGACAGTTTCGGGTGGGCTTTACTTGCCCTATTTCGGTTAATGACTCAGGATTACCCAGAATTGCTTTATCACCAGGTAAGAACAGAGAGATTCTGCACTGCACTTAAGCGTGGCATTATGACCTCCCTTCTAAAATATTGGTCGACTGTAATACAATTATTAAAATTTTATGTGGAGAAGAATTTGAGGACAGAAAAAAAAAAAAGAACCGTAATTATTGAATATCAAAGTATATGCTGGCTGTTGTTCCAGGTCTGTGCTTTGTGTACATCTTATTTAATTTCTGATACAATTCTACAAGATACACTCCACACGTCTGGTTTTTATATAGTGACACAGAGATTCAGTGAGATTGCATAACCTACTCTCTTACACTAGCAGCAGGTGCATCTGCCAGTTCTTACCATGCTACACAGAAGCCTGTGATATTGCAAGTTCGATATTAACTGCGTAACTCATATTTATAGGTACTGATTCTTTACTGGAAATATTTTGAACCTATAAGATTGCCAATATTAAACCATTATTCATTGATTACATAAAATGTCCTTTTTTTCTTCTATTGTCATTCCATTTTAATATTTGATCATGCTCAAATTAAGATGAGAGAAAACTTTCTGTTAAAAGACTTAAAAATCCAAATTCTGACCTTTTTTTGTTATTAATTATGAGTGTCACAGTTTCTCAGAAACTTAACAATGCCTTTTTCTAAAAGATTTATTTAATTTAATTTATTATATTTACTTTTTAATTTGACCAGAGAGAGACAGAGAGACAGAGAAAGAGAGAGAAAATGTAAAACCAAGCCACCAGATGCAGGACTCCAACCATAGTTGACCCTGTGGGAGTCCACCATCTTAACCACCATATCTTGGGCACGCACGCACACGTGCCCGGCGGGAGTTTTAAGCCACCGGGTCTGGGACGCTAACCGTTGTCGACTACATGGGAATCCAGCGACATAGCCATTACGCTAACTGCTGGTTCCCCCCACACAATGCTTTTTAAAAAAAGATTATTTTTTTTTCTTTGAACGGATGTTCCATCACAGTAGAACATTCAGTGTTATCAAAGAAGCATAATTGGGAACCAGCAGTTAGCGTAATGGCTATGTCGCTGCACTCCCACATAGTCGACCATGGTTCGTGTCCCGGACCCAGTGGCTTAAAAACTCACGCCGGGCGCGTGTGCGTGCGTGCCCAAGATCCCGAGAGGAGAATGGAGGAGAAGGGATTGCGGCGTGACCATCCCCCCCTGGGGGGTGATTTCTCGCTTTCTGTCTCTATGTCTCTCTCTGTCTGTCTGGCGAGCGCACGCGCCCTACAATGAAAATCTCTCCAAAAAAAAAAAAAGAAGCATAATTAATAGCAAAGGATAAGAGTTAATTTTTTCAAATTCTGAAGAAATATATAGTTGAAGGAGAAAATTCTTTTTTTAGAAAAATGTTTTGCTATAAGACATGTGTGCTTACAAGAGATACAGAGAGAGGTAGAGACAGAAAATGATAAATCACCCCCCGGGGGGATGGCAATGCTGCAATTTCTTCTCCTTCATTCTCTTCTTGGGATTTTGGGCATGCACACACATGTGTCCAGTTTGAGGTTTAAGCCAACAGGTCCAGGACATGAACTGCAGTCCACTACATGGGAGTCCAGTAATGTAATCATTACACCATCTGTTGGTCCCCCAATTTTTTATTTTAAGCATACACATACTATACTCATTTGGATTGGCTAGATAAATTGTGAGAGAGAGTTTGTGTGTGTCCATGTACGTGAGTGTGTGTGTATGTGTAGTCATTAATCATGATAGACTAATGAAATGTGTTTTGGGTATAGACAAAGGTTCAAAATATATTATTAAATGGAAACAAGGAGACCAGACATACATGTAGTACAGTTGTATTCTTCATAAAAGAAATACATGAAAATATTATAAGTAACATTTTCTATATGCAAACTATATTTTTCTAATTATGCTAGATTAGTATTTATAATATTACTTTACAATCTTTCTCACACGTAATAGTAATTCTTTCATAAGACTAGAAGCTCCTTATTTCTCCAATAATCTTACCGTGCTGTCCCCTGTCTAAAAAAGACTTTAGTGGTTTCCGAATTCCTATGGACTGAAGTGCAAAGTGCTTACCGAAATGTGGTACAGAGTGCCCTTTAAGATCTAGTCTCTAGGGGGACCAGCAGTAAGTGTAACGGCTATGTCGCTGGACTCCCACATAGCAGATCGCAGTTCGTATCCTGGACCCAGTGGCTTAAACTCACGCCGGGCGCGTGTGTGTGTGTGCCCAAGATCCCGAGAGGAGAATGGAGGAGAGGGGATTGCAGTGTGGCCATCCCTCCTGGGGGGGTGATTTCTCGCTTTCTATCTCTCTGTCTCTCTCTGTCTGTCTGGCGAGCGCATGCGCCCTATAGCAAAAACTTCTCCTAAAAAAAAAAAAAAGAAAAAAATATCTAGTCTCTGGGGACCAGCAGTTAGTGTAATGGCTACGTTGATGAACTCGCATGTAGTCGACTGCGGTTCGAGTCTCGGACCTGGTGACTTAAACTCAGGCCGGGCACATGTGCGTGCATGCCCAAGATCCCGAGAGGAGAATGGAGAGAAGGGATTGCGGTGTGGCCATCCCCCGGGGGGGTGATTTCTCGCTTTCTGTCTCTCTGTCTCTCTCTGTCTGTCTGGTGAGCGCACACACCCTATAGCAAAAACTTCTCAAAAAAAAAAAAAAAAGATCTAGTCTCCGTAGTCTCTGCATACTTCTTTATATTTGTTTTCCAAAATGTCCCAATACCTATCTCTGCTTTGTTGACTATCTAACAGACTTATCGTTTCCAAAATAAACATTCCTCTTTGTTCCTGGTTTCTATGTATGTATACCTTTTGCCTAAATTCAAGATTCCTGCTACTTTTTTTTGGGGGGGGGAGAGGTTTTTGCTATAGGGTGTGTGTGCTCGCCAGAAAGACAGGGAGAAACAGAGAGACAGAAAGCGAAAAATCACCCCCTCCCAAGGGGGATGGCCACGTTGGAATCCCTTGTCCCCCTTTCTCCTCTAGGGATCTTGGGCACGCACGCACACACACCTGGCGTGAGTTTAAGCCACTGGGTCCAGGACTCGAACCACAGTCGACTACATGAGAGTCCAGTGACATAGCCATTATGCTAACTGCTGGTCCCCCTGCTACCTTTTTCAAGTTCATGTCTGAAATGTATGTCGTAAGACCAGTTTTTTTGTTTAGTTTTTTTGTTTTTATTGTTTTGTTTTGTTCTTTCCTTTCAGTTTTTCTCTAAGCCCTCCTTTCAAAGTAAGGTAGAGTTTAGACTAGAACTCAATGGACACCTTATAATTGCCTCTGACAGAAGTATTTTAATTGCTTGTTCAACTTTTACCTCATTAAGAAACAAGCTATTTGAGAAGTATTTTGTCTGTGTGATTACCATTTAGTGTATAGGAATATTTCATGAAATTTTAATAAACAAAATCCATAAATTAGTAATTATGGACTATACCATTTTATACACCAACAAAGTTCTGACTTTTAAGTCATTGCCTCCAAGGTATGTTAGTTAATTTTCTTGTTTGCATTGGTTGAAAAGCAATCTTTTCCTTCTCCAAGTGAAACAAGAAGCCAGTTTGAGAATGTCCTGCTATTGGAGTTTATTCAGGTCTTTCATCATTAATGTACTTTAATTTTTTATTTATTAGTGTAGCGTTTGCTTTGATTTAATCTGGATCTTTACTCTGGACATTGCCCTAAAATAAACTCATTATGGTTAGGAATATTCACCAGTTATTCTCAAAGAATACAGCTCCTATTTTGGAGAATATTACTTTCTAGTCACTCAACAAATATTTGTTTGACCCAGCTGTCCTTTGATACAGTCTAGGTAAAGGGACAAAAAAACAGTGTCAACTGTCATGGACCAGAGTTATGTTTGACAGTGTTAACGTTTATTATGTATGTGACATGCACGAAGGTCTTCATGTGCAATTGTTTCCCTTGCTCTACATAAAAAGCCTATGAAATAGGAGGTTATAATTTGTCTCTTTTATACCAAAATATTATAAAACTAGAATTTGTACTCTTTTCTATGCTAACATATACGCTAACAGTAATATGCTTGGTCTTCTGCAAACATCATATGGTAGAAAGTGCAAAATTCTTCCCTTGGTTCTGTAGCATATATTTTATATGTCACATATACACAAAGACTTCAAAAGTTCATAAAAAGGGGGAATTAAATTACAAATCTATTTTTGCACAAAACAATATTGAAATACATGTGCAGTTTTTTCATAGTATATGTTTTCCATGAACTTGTTGATGACCCCTCACATGTCTAAACTTTAAGAGAGTTTCATTTATTCTTTAAGGAGAATCAGTACTTCAACTATTTTGTGATTATATTCTACTTATAACTAAAACTATTTGTATAACAAAATCTGATTTTTCATTTAAAAATAGAAGAATATAGGAAGACAAATAATGTTTCTGTTTTGTCCTGTATTCTACCTCTGCTTAGATCCTTTATGCTTCTGGGAAGGTATACATGCTATTTTTTGTCGTGGTAAGTTTTTGGTTTGCTTTTTATATGGCAAGTTTGTTCCTGGGCATACTTGCTATGGCCTACGAAGAAGAAAAGCAGACAGCTGCTGAAAGAACTAAGACGACTGAATCAAAATTTCAACAGGCTGTGAAGGAACTTCAAGAAGGATATGAAGCAGCTGAGGTATATTTTTAATGCTAGAGATATCTTCTCAATGTCTTAGAGTATATTTCATTCTGGTAGACATTCATATCTGTGTGGGGTACATGATCAGATCAAAAGTATTTTTTAAGGAAAAGGGTCATATTTGCTATATAATAATCTTTCCTTAATCTACCATGGTAAGAATGACCAATATCTTTAAATGTTTTTAGTATATAAATTTTTTATTCCAAATATATATTACTACTGGTAATAAACCATGCACATATTGTGTTTTTGACTTATCTTAATACAGGTATGGTCAATTAATTCAAACCTGCTTCAGACAGCACATCAGAATTAATTTTGGAAAATATCTGTGTTCAAAAAGTGATAGAGTCTTACAAAATTTTTTATGTGATACTAAATATATGGATTAAAGTGCAGTGTTGAAGTTGTAAAAAATAGAAAAATATTGCTTTATTGACTTTCTAGTTCTTCAAATAAAAACTCCACTGTGTATCATGGTATAGAGAATTATTTTTCTGTGCAATAATTAAATATATAATTAGTAAAACAATAGTAATATTTTATTATAATTGTCAGTTACCTTAGCATTATGTTTGAATTTTTTCCAGATTTTTTTATTTTTTTATTTTTTAAATTTTATTATTATTTTTTGAGAGGTCTTTGCCATCGGGCGCGTACGCTCGCCAGACAGACAGAGAGAGACAGAGAGACAGAAAGCAAGAAATCATCCCCCAGGGGGATGGCCATGCCGCAGTCCTTTCTCCTCCATTCTCTTCTCGGGATCTTGAGCATGCACACACACGCGCCCGGCGTGAGTTTTAAGTCACTGGGTCCGGGATTTGAACCACGGTGGACTACATGGGAGTCCAGTGACATAGTCATTACGCTAACTGCTGGTCCCCCTTTTTCCAGATTTTCAGACTCATAGAAAAAAGTTAGGTCTATGAATTTATTTATAAGTACTGACTGAAGTAGCTTTAAGATATTTGTGGAAAATTATCTTTAGAAATCCAAATTATGTCATAAGCATGCCAAAATAAACCAAAGCAGGGTAAAGGAAAGTGGCCAGAAGTATTTGGAAGTACTTAGCAATCTCACAGTTTCTCCTTAAACTTACATTCTGGTGGATGGAAAAAGGGTCTGGCTTGAGGTACAGGACAAAAGATAGAGAGCAGTATTATCAGGGACCCTCTCGTATAAAGAAGATAAAAAGAAATTAGGAAAAATAAAGGGCCAGCTTGCACTGGGGCAGGAAATGAAATGTGTAGTAACACTGACTAAGAAATAAACTATTAAAGATCCCTCCAAATCAAAAGGAGAAAAATGTTCATATATCATATGTAGTACACACACACACATGCACACACACACACACACACACATATATATATATACACACACATATGCATATTAGATACTATTTATTATATATATTTAAATCACCCAGTACCCTTTATGGAGGCATTATTAGTAAGGAATCTCTATAAAATCATTGTACCAAACCCCAAATATGGAGCCTGAATGACACGACATAGGGCCATACCAAATGACTTGGTAGACACTGTGTTCATAACATGCATATCACTGAAACAAGAGGCAATTATGAACTATATGAAGAAAACATGTCTAAAAAGAGGCTATTGAGTATAGCCATTATATCACCCATCAGTAAGTCACAGAAAAACAAATGACAAACGTTCTTTTGTCTCCAGAAGAGAGTTCAGAGTTCTTCGGATTGAATGATTAGGGTCTAAATGGTATGTTGAATGTGTAATTTGTTCTGAAATGGCATTTCAGAATCTCAAGAGCTTATGGTCACACATGAATGGATCAAGAGCATAACAATACTATTTGATCCCAAGATGAAATGCTCTATTAACTCTGCTTATGAAGAACTTGGGTTTGTCCCAATTTCCTGATATCACCATTCATTTTGCTACTTTGGATCACATAAAGCCTTTCTGGTTTTCATTAAAATCTTTCAGTTTTGAAGACTTTTTTTCCTGGAAGAGTCCTAGAACATTTTATTATGCAGTTTTCTGGGAAATTAGAATAAAAAAATCGATATAAAAAAAAGATTTATTTTCTCTATACATAAGAAAACATTGGAGAGAAAAGACTTTAAATTGGACCATCATGAGAATTTTTAGGTTTTATCTGATTGAATCTCCATCAGATTAAAATTCCAGTGTTGTAATTATGGAAAATTGCTTAGATGCTTTATATTCTCACATTATAAGAAAGCTAATCATGTTGGCTAAAACCACAGTTTTATAGTGAGATAAATATGGTTTTCAGTCTAGTTTAGCCACTTAGTAAAAGTGTATTGGCCAAATTTGTTAATCTGTCTAAACTTTCACTCTTTATCTATAAAAAATATATAATCATAATGCCTGTCTTCTTGGTTTTTGTAAGGTTCAAATTAAAAAAAAACACATGTAAGACATTTAGCAATTTTTCTACTGTACTGAGAAATTTTTTTAAATTGCTAAGAGAAGATACTAATAAAATTTTTATAATGTATTAGGATTATACATCATACTAAAGATAGCTTTTACCCAAATAGCTTTTCCTAAGCAATCCACATTAGAAAAGCTTGATGATTAAAGAGAAAAAAATTATCCTTAAATAAACTTACATTTTAAAAGTAAATTATTACATAACAACACAATAATATTAATATTACATAAGATTTATTATTCATTTACTGTGTGCCAGACTCATTGTTAAATGCTTTATACAGATTGTCACAATACCCCTGTGATAGCACTTTTAGGTATGAAAATTATCTCAATATAAATGTTACATGCTTCTATTGACATTATTGTATTATTACTTTATTATTCCTAAGCATAGTCAAAGACTTAAGAATTTTATGTCAATGGAGTTCTCTCCACTGGGACAATTGTGCTTTCTTGAGTTTGCTATAGTTAGGTACTGGCTAGTTAAGTCAGTGTTAAATGCATCACATTTCATTATTATTACCTCAAAGCTAATTTTTTTTTCTTTCTTTCTTTATTTTATTTTATTTTTGCCATAGGGCATGTGCACTCACATGAGAGAGATTGATAGCGGGAATGTGAGAAATCACCCCACTGGGAGATGGCCATGCCACAATCCCTTCTCCTCCATTCTCCTCTCAGGATTTTGGGCACGTGAACACATGCACCCAGCATGATTTTTATGTTGCAGGATCCAGGACTCAAACCATGTGGGAGCCCAGAGCCTTAACCACCATGCCACATGTTTGCCCCACTAAATGTTTCATAATGCATATCACATCATCGCTGTGATAACCCTTTGAGTGTAGAAATTATCCCAATGTCTCATGTAAGAAAACTGAAGGTTAGTTTCCAGAGTAGTAAATGAAGAGATAACTACAATATTAAGCCAGATATTAACATTTTTGTGTAAATTTAATTCACACGTAGTAGAGATTATAAAAATCCTCTGGCTAGCTATAGGGAACAAAAGAAGGCAAACAGAAGGCACAACTATCCCAGTAGAGACAAATCCATTAACACATAATTCTTCAGTTTCTGACTTTATTAAGAGATAACAATAAAGATAATAATGGCAGCATATAATGTTTACAATTATGGGAAATATATGATGTGTTCTCATGAATTCTGAAATTTAATTATTTAATTTTTGGCTATAGGGTGCATGCGCTCACTAGAGTGAAACAGAGACAGAGAGAGAGGGAAGGCAAGAAATCACCTCAAGGGTGGATGACAATGCTGTAATCCCTCCTCTTCCCTTTCCCCTTTGAGATTTTGGGCATACACACATGCTCAGTGAGTTTTTCAAGCCACTGGGTCAGGTGGCTCTGTAGGGTCCAGTGCCTTAATCACCATGCCACCTACTGGCCTCTGAAATTTAATTCTTATCAAAAAACTGCAGCTACAAATTTTGATCTATAAACCTCAACACTGATACCTCAATACTAGGGAAAAGAATCCCTCATTTACCATTTTTCTTTGTTCTAGAAACTGAATGATGAAACAGTATCATTCTATTAGTTACAAGTTTGCAGGTGAAGATTTTCTAGAAATTACCAGCTATTGGAAACACTCGGGAAGAGATTCAGATACATACAACTGCAGAAATACAATGTTTTTAGAAATATTTGCCACATCTAAACTGATATCCTATAAGAACATCAGAGTTTAGTTCATCTATATCAGTTTAACTCATTTATCTAATTAATTAAGACATTATTTACAATTGTACTGAGCACTGGAACTATTAGAAAATTAATAAAAACAAAGCCTATTTTCATGAAGCTAATGATCTAATTGGAGAAATATACTATAAATTTACTCTAAATACGAAATTAGAGCTCTAGAGCAAAAAATTTTGTGTTTTAGGGACCAATAGATGGAGTAATGTTTATGTCACTCAAGTCCCATGTAGTTTACCACAGTTCAAGTTCCTGACCTGGTGACTTAAAAAAAATCACCCTGGGCTCGCATGCCTGTGTGCCTAAAATTCCAATGAGGTGATGGGATTGTGGCATGGCCATCCCCTCTGCAGGGCTGATGTCTCACTTTCTGTCTCTGCTTCTCTGGTGAGTACACACAACCTATAGCAAAAATCTCTCTAAAAAAAGAAAGAAAGAATGTGTTTCCTTGTGTTATGAAATAGAAAACACAAAATAGCATGTGCAATGCATTTTTGCAAAAATCTGAACTTTTAACAAGTCTCTTAATATAATTCCTTTTTCCAGAAAATATAGGAGAGAGAACAACATATTCAATTATACTAAAAAGATAAAATATGCCAAATCAGGAATGAGTGGAAAATTCTACAGTTTATGACTCAGTATTTTAATGAATAAGCCATGCAGAAAAAAATTTTAAAATCACTATATAATCAATAAACCTGTTAACTAAATACAATGTACACTTTTTTTTCCTCTTTTTTTTTAGTTTTGCTATAGGGCATGTGTGTTTGTGGTAGAGAGACAAGAGGGAGAAGGAAAAAGATGGAAAAAGAGATGTCACTGCCCAGGGGGAAGGGACTCACCTCAATTCCCTCTCCTCCTTTCTCCTCTCATACTGGGTATGCATGTAGAAGTGCCCAGAGTGTTTTTCAAGCTGCCAATATGGACTGGAACTGCACAGTTGATCTAGCCACTCAAAACTACACCACATGCTGCCCAAGGAGTTGTAATGTATTTTTTTTATGCTATCTTAAAATTACATGAGGTCTAGGGAACCAGCAGTTAGCGTAATGGCTATGTCGCTGGACTCCCATGTAGTCGACCGTGGTTCGTGTCCCGGACCCGGTGGCTTAAAACTCACGCCGGGCGCGTGTGCGTGCGTGCCCAAAATCCCGAGAGGAGAATGGAGGAGAAGGGATTGCGGCGTGACCATTCCCCCTGGGGGGTGATTTCTTGCTTTCTGTCTCTATGTCTCTCTCTGTCTGTCTGGCGAGCACACGCGCCCTGCAGTGAAAATCTCTCAAAAAAAAAATTACATGAGGTCTAAAATATGTTTCAAAATATTTCAGAAAAAAAGTGTAGGAAGAAGAATACAAAAAACGCAGAGGAGTGTGTTGTCTTTAATTATTGATGCTGGACTGGGTACCTGGGTTCACTGTATATCTATCTTGAAAAATGAAATGAAGCTGGTGTAATAAGCAGAGAGACAGAGTGCTTTGAGGCACTTTAATAAAGATTTTTCTTTGAGTCATGAAAGATTTTTTAAGAGGAACTGTCACTTGAGCTGAAATGTGAAGAACGGTCCACGATAAACACAGACAGAGACCGGGTGAGTCAGATACAGAACCGAGAGCAAGTCTGAATCCTGGATGAATACCTCAGGTATTCATAGCCAGATATGAAAAATCCAATGAGTTTTTTTTTTCATCCCTCCTTTCCAGAGAATAATTAAACCAGTTTTGTGAAAAATAATCCTATCCCCCTTTCCAGTATAATTTTAATGTCAGATTGTTGCAAGTTCAGGCTTATTCCTTATTAACTATTAACAAAACAAAAGAGAGAGAGAGAGAGAGAGAGCCATTGAGCTATCTTCTTCTCAATTTGCATTGTAAAATAGCTTTGTGCTTCTAAACTCAAAACAAAAGAGAGAGAGAGAGAGAGCCATTGAGCTATCGTCTTCTCAATTTGCATTGTAAAATAACTTTGTGCTTCGTAGTTGGAGAACATGTGGGAAGCCAACAGAGGTAAATATATCACTGGACTGATAAGTGGTTCATTCATTTAATATTTCAAAATATATGGCTAGTTCAAGCCACATTTGTAGGGAATTGAGCACTAACTTTGTCAAAATATTTTTTTCCACCTCTCCTATATCCTTACCCCTTGGACCATATAGAGACAGACAATTATCTTTACTGAATTGCACTTTGGTGAGATTCAAACAAATATTGTCACTATCTAAAATAGTTCTATAAGAAATAATGCCAGGATCCAAAGATAGCATAATGGTTATGCCACTGGACTCCCACATATTTGAGCATGGTTCGAGTCCTAGACCCAGGGGCTTAAAATAGTACCAGGTGTATGTGTGTGTGCATGCCCAAAATCCTGAGAGGAGAATGAAGGAGAAGGGATTGCAACATGGCCATCCCCCCAGGGGGTGATTTCTCATTTTCTGTCTCTCTCTATCTCTCTCTGTCTCCCTGCCAAGTGCACACACTCTATAGCAAAAATCTCTTAAAGAAAATGCCTCAATGTTAAGACTTTAATTGAGAATGTCATTCACTATACTGCAAAGAATCATCTTTGTTAAAACACACACCTTGGAAATCTGTAACAAAATAACACAATTACTTTTATTGGATTTTTCTATCATAAAAATTTGAAATTAAATAAATTATAACTTAAACTTAGGTATCCTTGTAATTCATCCAAAAAAGTACTTCCTATAATAACTACAGTTTATGCAAATAAACTAACCTCACTTTGTGAGTTTTTAGCTTGTTTTTTTAATTAAAAAAGAAAACTAAGGGGAGGGAGTTTTGTATACTTACAGCATTTTTGGCAAGGTTACATACCTTCATAGTATTACAGGCTTGAATCTGCAAAGGAAAGAAGTCAGAATGAGGCCTGTCAAATTTATTTTCAGACCAAGAGCACACAAATAGAAATGACAAAAAGATCACCAACCTTTATGGATACACCTCTGGATGTGATGGAAGATGCTACTCCTGGGCATCATGAAGGTAAAATGAAAAATATTTAGACATTCACTATGGAATACACTATTTGTAAGACATGCTTTTATAAAAATCCTGCAGTTTCTTCAGAATCTTAGATAGTAATAAGCAAAATTTAATGATCAACATGAAACATTAGTAAGAACACTATATCAAAATTTCAGAAGCATAGTTTTGTTTGTTTGTTTGCTTGCTTTAAGAGAATTTTGCTCTAGGGCCCATGCGCTTGCTAGAGAGACAGAGAGAGAAAGGGAGGCAGAAAATGAGAAATCACCCTCTGAAGTGATGGCCACACCACAATCCCTTCTCTTCCATTTTCCTTTCAGGATCTTGGGCACACACACACTTGTGCCCATCATGAGTTTTAAGTCACCAGATTCAGGACTCGAACCACGGTCAACTGTGGGAGTACAGTGATGTAACCATCATGCTGGTCCCAGAAGCATAGTATTTTAAACATCGGAAAGGGTTACTGGAGAGTATCAAGGATTTTATTTTGTTTAGTATTAGAAATAATGTTGAAGTTGGGACCAGCAGTTAGTGTAATGGTTATGTTGCTGAACTCCCATGTAGCCAACTGAGGTTCAAGTCCTGGACCTGGAGGCTTAAACTCATGCCGGGTGCATGTGCATGCATGCCCAAGATCCCGAGAGGAGAATGGAGGAGAAGAGATTGCAGTGTGGCCATCCCCCCTGGGGGGTGATTTCTCGCTTTCTATCTCTCTGGTTGAATTATTAACTTGAGAATAAAGACAGAAATTGGAGTATATAATATTAATATCTCAGGGTCCTTTCTGGACTTCTACCTGTTTTATTTTTTAAAATATGACTGGTAATTTTTCTCATGGACATATTGAAAGGCTGTAATTTGTAAAGCATACAAGTCATGTGCTTCATAAAATATAAATTAAAATTAATAGCACAGTTATAAATTATAAATCATAATGTTCTCAGTTGTATTCATAGTGTTTGGGGGAGCATTTCTGTGTATTTTCCTTACTTTTGTTCGTTACACTCAATAAGCTTGACATAACGGAGTAAATGTACTTCACCTTCTTTTTTATTAGCATAGTTCTATTTCCTAATTCCAAATCCAAAGTCTAATTTAAAATTTCCCCTTGCATGCAAAAGTCAAAATTGTCTTTAAACAACATGATGTTTTCAGGATTTTTTATTCTTTCCTTTTAGAACTTAAAAAATCAAGGAAGAAATGTTCTTTGTGTTGGTACAGATTTGCTAAAACTCTCTTTGTCTGGAATTGTTCTCCCTGTTGGTTAAAACTGAAAGAATGCGTCCAAAAGATTGTGATGGACCCATTCACTGACCTTTTCCTTACCATATGTATAATTTTAAACACATGTTTTCTGGCCGTGGAACATTATCCAATGGGTGATGAAACTATCAATCTTCTCAGCATTGGAAACTTGGTAAGACTCTCATTGTACATTATTTTAATTTGCAATTTCAACTTTCCTTTATTCACCATTATCTCCATTATTTTACTTTGTAAGTCCAACATACAGCAGTGTGCATTATTATCAGATGAAGTATTGTGTTTATGCTTCTCCCACCCCTACTTTGTGAATATTTTTATCATTGAATAGTTTTACAGCTGGAGTTTACACTCCTGTTTATTTAAATTTGAGATTTCTAGCCAGCTGGCTGGCGGTCAAGTTAAGTGGAAATATTTATTGTTCCTCTTTTCTCAAACGCACCTTTCCTTGGTACCATCACTCCATACATCAGAGTAAGGCAGAGATGAAAAAAAAGCACAAGTGATTCCCTGACCCCTGAGTTCTGAATCCCAGCTACAGCAGTATCTGTCCTTACTCTTCTAACCATCTATCTTTGCCTTGGATTGGAGTTTATCATTTCGGTGAGACATACCTGCCCCTTACTTTAAGACCTTTCTGCTCCTTTTCACATATAATGCAAAAGACAAAACAGGTTTCTGTACATTTAAAAATGAGTTACTTTTAGGCAAATATTTACTGTTTAACTTTGATTTGCTTTCATTGTTGTTATTGTTTGGTTGCTTAGTGCTAATATGTACAAAGAACAAAATTACTACCAGTTTTAAATTAGACATTTACTGGAACAAACAGTAATTTAGTTCTTTTTTTTTCCAATACAGTTTTGAAAAGTTAGTTTCCACAGACTTACTCTGGATTTTGTCTGGATCATATATGTACAATTTTTATTCTTTTACAGATTGAAAATAAAGTATTTTAATATGTACCCCCATTATCTCAAAAAGAACAATTTAAAATGGAAATATTTTCACCCGTACATATTCTTTTCATGGTTATGCTGCAATCCCTTCCCTATTTCTTCCTCCTCTTAGGATTATGAGCGTGCATGCATACACACCTGGCTTGAGTTTCCCAGGCTACCGGATCCAGAACTCAAACAGCATAGCCAACCAATGGGTTTCAGAGGCCTTAACCACTGTGCCATCAGCTGGTCTCAGTCTATTTTTTTTAAGATGGCTTTTATTAAAATAATTGAAAATTCTGTATGTAGTGTTTCTGTCTGATTGTTAAGTAAAACGTGTGGATCTGTCCTTGTAATACAGACAGAAAACCTGACCATATCTTGGCAGAGAAGCAGAAAGAGGGTG